GACAGACTTGGTAGCCAATCGCGACCGGAAGTTGTTCGAAGCCTTTGGTCACCAAGTTTGACGGCAACGTTGTCGCTACACATGTCACTGCAATAAGCCTCCAATGCTGGCATCTTCGTTGCAAGAAAGCTTCGTTCCTGCCAAAATGATTTCCAAGCAATCGCGTGCATTCAGGATCAAAGCAGACTTGTATGCAAATGTCGCGCATAATATCGAAGCAAGTTCTTAGAATTTTGTTTTTTTTGCATAAATTGTTTCCCGGCACCTGCCAGTGTCACAGCAGATTCGTTTGTAAATATCGTTCATGCATGCAAGTGCATGTGGAGCATAACCGTCGTAGACAGACTTGGGTGATCACTCGCAACCGGAAGTTGTTCGAAGCCTGCGGTCACCGAGTTTGACTTCGATGGCGTTGCTACACGTGTTATAGCAGCAAGATTGTTGATGCTTTCATTTTCGGTTCAATAAATGTTAAGCCTGCCATATTCTTTCCAAGCACCTGCTTGCTTGACCACTTCGTTGACCTGCAGTGAAACACTTTCGTTCAGGATGCGGTCAAAAAAGGTATTCTGACACGGAGTGAGTTTTATGTTGAATTCAATTGTACTGTTTTGTTTGAGTCTGTTTCGCTGAAGAGATGTCTGTCATGAGTCGAAACTGTTCATGTGATTCAAAACCATTCATGCAGCCGTGTTCTGGATCGCGACCGTTTATCCTCCGTTGTGCACAACGATATCATGCTGGATGCTTAAAGGTTTGCGAGGCGATTTCACGATTGCATTGTTTGCGTTGCATTGATATGTCGAATTTTATTGTGAGCAGTTGCGTCATGTTATAACTTCAATTCAATTGTCTATAGTCTATAATGTGTTCTGTGTCTCAGGGCTCCAAGAAAGTGACGTTTGGTGCGTGGAGACCTCAGGAGGGACTGGTAAGAAGGATGCTTGCGTTGGCTTCTTCAAACTTTCCTCCTTGCCGATGCGGTAACTTTTACCTTAGAAAGTTTTTTGATTTTATCAGCATCATTTCATACATGAAGATGTATAACGTGCGACGTAAAACTGGAGAGACAACAGTTGCTAACATCCAAAGTGTCTGATACTGATACCTTACAAAAAGCTGTGAATTCGTGGCCAAACTGGCTAGAAGGACCTGGGTCCACGACCGGAAGTTGTTCGAAGTCGGCCCTTGTTCCGACTGAATGTGCAGAGACCCCATGAGGAACGGGATCCACGACCGAGAGTTGTTCGAAGTCGATCCTGTTCCGACTGGGTGCGCGAATATACCTGATAACCGATAAAATTGTGCAAACAGAGCTCTATAGACATCTTTTTTTTGTTCGATTGTTGGACTTGAATGATATTCTTTGCTTGTTGTGATTTGACCTGAAAGACCAGTTTCGTTTCCAGAGACATTGAGTCTTTTGAACAGGTTGAGCGGCAACAAGTGGGACCAAATGAAAGTGGACACCACGCAATGGAATTCCAGGAGGCCGGCATGTCGATGCCACATATAGTCACCAGCCACGAAGTTACAAGTATCGGCGAAAAGCTGTGAATTGGCTATTGCAAAGTGTCGTGACCAAACTGATTAGAAGGACCTGGGTCCACGACCGGAAGTTGTCCGAAGTCGACCCTTGTTCCAGCTGAACGTGCAGAGACTCCACAAGGCACGAGATCCACGACCGAGAGTTGTTCGAAGTCGATCCTGTTCCGACTGGGTGTGCAACTATATCTGATAACCGACAAAACAACATGAGTTGAACTGTGGGTAATTTGTTTTGTTTTTCAAGTGTTGCATTTGTATGAGCATTGGTTGTCCTGATGCCAGGTTGGGACGTGCGATTTCGCACACTTCGGCGGCTCTTACTACCGGGACTAGCGTTTGAGCTCGACCGGCGCTGGATAAAAAAGAATCGACCGGGACTACCGTTTGGGCTCCGAAGTACAGTGCAACAGAATATACATTAATAGATTTGGTAATAACGTGATAATAGTATCATAATCATAATGTATATATATATAGATATATATATATATTATATATTGTGTCATCTCATCATCATCTCATTTTGTTTCATCTTAATGTTTTGAATCATCATATATCATCTCTTCATTTCTTTAGTGCTCATTCATCTTCTGTTACTTCGCTTTTCTTCCCTTCTATTTGTTCTCTTCCGCCTACTTGCTTTCGGGAAACCCTGTCGTCTAGTCTTGTTTTTGAACAAGACCCTGAAACTCCTGCCATAAGTGACGTGTGGATCAACATGCAAACTCTGTTATATTTTGTATATGCCCAGCCACTCATCATGTCTCTTATGAAGGCGCCATTCAGGGGTTTTGGATGCTTTTTATGATCTCTGACCACCCACTCCCGACCTCCAAACCTCTTCAGCTGATGACCTGCTCCGGGGATGCACGGCGCCAGCGGCGCGCACCGATCTTGAGATTTCGAACAAACAAAGCCAGGCACCGATCTTACCTAGTAGCGATGGCCTCCGTGAACAACCCAGAATAGCTGCTGAGGTGATATTTTTGGAGTGTAAACAGTTCGATGGCGGGGCACAGAAAGATGGGAAACACACCGATCGAAGCACGAAGCACTTCGATCTCTTCGATCCCTCTCTCAGGGGAAGAACATCTCGAGGCCCGGGACGGGAGGTCAGGAGTCGAAAACAAGCAATAAGAACTGGTTGTCCCTAAAGACACATGGCTGTGGGTCAAGACCGGGAGCCCGGTCTAACCAGGGCAGGATGATTCTTTTAAGGCAGTGTAAAAAAGGGCATCCCTGAGTTGCATACTTTTGGGTGGCTGGACATTGGGATCCTGCAAAAGAAACACTATACTACCTAGTATAAGCCAACCCGTCCCACTACCCGGCTCTGGAAACACAGGCGGTGCACCTCTCTCGAGGCTTCAAGCCTGACATTGGCCGGAGCTGTTGAATCCGATTCAAGTTAGATCCAACATGATGAGAACTGACACATCTCAATCTCATGTTCATGAGAAATCTTGGACAATCTTGGATAAAGTATGATAAAGTGCATATTTATGCATACTCTATAGAATAAACACTCATGTACTAGCAGCAGGCCCCAACATGAGCCAGTGCCGTTCAAATTTGCTTTGTAGACCTATAGTAGAGGAGCAGCAAGACCCAAGTCAATAGAAGCAGCTTGGAACGACTGATGATCTGACACTTTGGACCTCAACAAATCAGATCAGAGCTACAGTCATTTGCACAAAAACGTGTAATGCGTTACGATCTTCAGATCCTGATCTACAGTAGTAACTCGTTGATTTACTAGCTGCACGTTGCTACAAGGCATCCAATCGACATCAAATCGATTCGATCACCCACCCCCTTGGGGGGATGATCCCACGGTTCGCGATCGAAGACAAGATATCCCAACCATAAGGTGTGCAAACACCAAAGGAAAACGATGCGAACTCCAAGTAGATCATTCGCAACCATAAGGATGTGTTTTAACCCCATAGACGTTGTGTGTTCGTGTTCCTCGATAAATCTCAGAACAGGTCTGTGAAATGGTTCTCATCATGTCGCCGATGCAG